CACCATTCACCTCGCCGGTTTTCCAGAAAATTGGAGAGTCCCAAGAAGGGTTTCACAGGTGGAGCTGGTCAGCCTCTGCGCCAGCATTTAGCTCACTCTGACTTTGTGGCCCAGGGAGTCTCAGGCTGGTGAGCCTCCATCAAGGGAGCTCTATCCAAAAGTGCTTCCTAGTTGCTGGACAAGACCCTAAGAAGGAAAATCTGTTCTACTGGAAGAAGCAAAGGTACTGGGCTTGGTCAGTGGAAAGGGGATGTGTGACTCAAGAGTTTAGGGGAGTCACTGAGAAAGACCGGCAAGAAGACAGGTGGGAGAGTGCAGGGGTGCCTGGGGAAGGAGATGGGGCCTGCGGGTGTAGACTGACTGCAGGGCTCTCTGCACTGGGACTGCTGTGCCCCTGCTGACCTGGCCCGTGCAAATGTGCAAGATGACTGTGTGGCCCCATCTGTCCCTCCTGCTGGGTAGCGGACTAACAGAAGGACAGGGCAGGGCTGTGGTCCCTCCCCTGGTGGGGTTGCTTTTGGGAACTGGCCACCACTGGCTATTGGAGACTCTGCTACCTTGACCCCTGGCTGCCTCCAAGGACAGTAAAGCCCATTCAAAAGGGTAGAGAGACTGTCTTCACCTCTTTCCTACACACCCGCAATCTGTCCCCAAGTACTTCTATTATGGACAAACTTGCTTCTAAACTCTGCTACTTGGGGCCAAAGGAAACCAATCCAGTCTCTCTCCCTCAAGACAGTAACAGTGCAGCTGGCACATCAACGCCATTCACTGTCTTGCCGACAGCCTCCTCGATGGAAGCGAGGGGGCCCAGTCCCAGCTCAGTGAACAGCTCTGGGGCAGGCAGGCTCTGAATAGCCAGGCCTGGCCCCACCTCTTGTCACAGCCCATCCAGGCAGAAGTGGGCGTCTTATCCAGGCTGACCCACAGTCCAGGCCATGACCCAAGGAACAGAGACAGGCTGAGAGATTCCGATGGTCTCTCCCTTGGAAAATGACAACAGATAAATACTGAGGAAGTGAGAAACTGATGTGCAGAAGGCCACGTCAGCAATGAGTGGCTTTTCCCGATGGGTTGGGACAGCCAAAGGGATAGCGAAAGCTGGGGGTAGGGAACAGAGGTGGAAGGATGGTGAATGGAGAAGGTTGTAGAGAAAGAGGCCAACTGAGGCTCACAGGGAGCCCTGCTGCAAACCCTCCGCCTGGTCCTCCGCAGCCACCTGGCCCTGTCGGCGGCCCTTCTACACCCAGCAGCTGCAGATCTTTCCAAAGCACGAGCCCAAGCGTGTCACTCTCCTACTGAAAACCCTCCAGGGAATTCCTCACATTTAAAATAAAATCCAAATTCCTTCCAGGGATCTTCCAGGCAGTGTGATCCAGCCCCTGGACCTGGGACCCCCACCTCTCACAGCCTGCCCTCTGCACTTCTGTGCATTGGCCACTCCAACCTCCTCTCAGCCTGACCCCACTTCCTACTGTCCTCGCTGTGCCATTCCCTGGGGACTCTCCCTCCAGACCTTCTCATCTTTGGGAGTCAGCTCAGATGCATCCCCTGGGGAAGCCTTTGCAGCCACCCTCTCTAGAGTAACTCTTCCCCCAGACACACCCATCTCATTCCACTCTCCTATCCCTCACACACTTATTTGCTTGTTTGCTTGCTTTTGGTCCACCCACACTTCGTAAATGCAAGCTCCAGGGGAGCGGGCCTGGCCTGCATCTGCCCTCATTGTCTGCCCCTGCACTGACTATAGCAGCTGTATATTTACTGATGCCTCCTCTGTGCTGGGCACTGCTTGAAATGCTCGCCAAACACTGGCTCATCACAACCTCATTACTGATCCTATAAGACAGGTACCATTATCAATCCTACTTACACTTGAGAAAACGAGAGGTTTAGCAACTCATCTATGACAGTGCAACTAGTAAGTGATGCAGCCAAGGCTTTGAACCTGGGTATCTGGGTGCCTGAGTCTGTGCTCTTAACCACTTCTCTGGACTTGTTTGTCACCTGCCACCAAGGGCTCCTACCTGAAGCATGAGCAGAATCCCCCTGATGGACCACCTGACACACTATGAGCACATCCTTCCCAGCAGCCCCGGGAGGTTTTATTGCTGATGAGCTCAAAGCTCATAGAGGTCACACTGCCAGCTCCAGGGCACACAGCTAATAAGGAGTTTGTCTGACTCCAAAGCCCTTTCCCTTCTACTCCCCGGAGGACACAGGTCCAAATATCCCAAAGAGCCAGGTGGGAAATGGAAAGATGTAAGAGAAACCGTAGCAGAGCTTATAACAAAATGCAACTACCACTGGGCCTCAGTTCTGGGACCCTAAAGGGAGTGGTGGGGACTGTAGCAAACCAGCAGGCTTATGCCATGTCTAAGCAGGGAGACCACTCCTAGGCTCCCCCATAGTGGCTGCCTGATGAGAGGGCGGCCCAGTCTGTGGGCCAGATCTTCCCATTTTCTAGAGAAGCAGGAATAGAGCTTCTTAAAAATTATATAAAATCTTTTAAATTTAAATGTTAGTAAGTGACTAAGTCTTTTTAAACTGTGTGAGTTCAAAAAACATGATCTGGGGGCAAGTTTGGCCCACAGGCTAAAGTTGATAACTTTGGAATCCACTAAGCTGGTCCCTCTGTGTGTTTGGAAACAGCAGTCATGTCTTCCTCCCAGGTTAGCAGTTCCCACATCCTCAAGGCAGGATCTTCCAGGACAGGAACGGAGCCTTATCTGATTTTTTGTTTTTAACCCCAGACCCCGCCCAGTCCCTGGCCCATGGTAATAACTGTTTGTTAGATTACTGGGTGATTTCTTTCACAACATGGCCACTGAATGCTCCCTGGTTTGTCTATATGTCTGAGGGATGGTCCCAGAGGACCGCGTAGGGGGGAGCAGAGTTGGTCTCATCGGTAATGGTGGGGGGTGGGTTGACCCCAGCACCCATTCTACTCTCTTCCTAAGATGTCTTCCAGTTCACTAGAGGCCAGAAAGCCAGGTACTGTTTCCCCAGGCTACCTTCAACTGCGGTTCTGGATGCAACTCACATGAGCCCATCAGACGGCCTCACACAGGCAGGGAAAGCAAGGAAAGGAAAGTAGAAGTGAGGTGGAGGCTGTTTCTGCGCTTGGCACAGTGGTGGAGGCGATGGGATTTTCAACAATGTTCCACCTTGGCTACACAGGGTCTCTCTTCACAGTGTTGCTGTAGCAAGCACAGCATTGCTCTGAGGCCAATGGCTGTGGCAGTGGCTTCTTCATTCCTGGATCGCAGCTAATGTGACACGTTCCTGATGCTGACCCCACACCTTCCCTACTGCGTCCTAAGCAGCGGCTTTTCTAGGGTCCCTGATAAGATGCTGGGTGCTGTTCCTGGAGGCCCAGCTCAGAGCCCATCCTCTGCCAGCCAAGGATTTTTGTAAGCACCAAATGCCCTGCATCACATCCATTTCTGATTAAAATAGCCTGCGTGGGCTCTATTGTTAGGCACTGGCTGACCCCTCACTGATAGGTGCAGAAGGACAATTACAGCATTTATGGCATCAGGAAGCCAGGAAATTAGCCATGATTAAGCCCTATGAAGTGTGGGACCACAGGGAGAGACTGGGGAGAGATGCTGATTAATCTCAGGCCAAGTCTTTTAAATTGCACAGAGTCTGGAGCAGCCATTAAGTCACAGTCCAGGATGCAAATATGGCTCCTGATAATAGAAGGCACTCAGAACAACTAGAAGGATGGTCTGAAGCGAGAAGTGGAGAAAGGCGCCATGAATGAGAAATTAACATTCATTGCTCTGGGCAACTCGCAACAAAGGAGGCCTCCAGGCTCTGTGCCTGGCAAGCCCTGCTCACTGGCCCTGGAGCTAGCTAGCAGGAACACCCTTCCCCATTTAATCAGGGACCCACAAATGTCTCTGCAGAGAAGTGGAGGACCACTGGATTTGAAGTCACAGGTCCAGGGTTGAAACCTCAGCCTACCCTCTCCCTTAGCAGCTGTGTGACTCTGAGCAAGTCCCCTTACCTCTCTGGACACAATTTCTTCAGTGGCACAATGAGGACTTACACACTTATGGATTATTGCAAAGATGGGCCAATAAAGTATATGTAAGTATTTACCTGTAGAACTATACATATGATACAGTACAAAAAGCTATAAGCAGCCCGTCCCAATCTTGGTGAGCACAGGATTAGAGTATATATACACCACTGCTTAAGCCTCACCTCAGACCAAATGAGTCAGAATCTCTGCGGGTGGGGCCTGAGCATCAGTATTTTTAAAACTCCCAGGTGATTTGAATGTGCAGTGGAGGTTGTGACAGACAGGTCCCTGGGAAGGCGTAACTGCAAGGTGAGGTATGAGGACCACATGGGCAAGAATACCAAGCTTGGGGCCAAAGATCTGGGTTCGAATGTTGATTCTTACACTTCTTGGTAGTTGACCTTGGAAAGCTCACTTGACTTTTCTGAGCACTCGACTCCTTAGCTCCCTTAAAAGAGGAAGGACACTGGAACTTACCCTATAGGTCTCCTGTGAGGGCAAACGGAAGGAGTCATACAGGAGCTGAGCCCACGCCTGGTACCCAGTAGGAGCTCAAAAATGCAAGCTGCTGGCAGCAGCAGCCTCAGCAGCAACCAAAGTGGCATCTCAGGTCTGTGGGGCAGGTGCTGTCTTACTCACCGGCTGCGTTCCTGGAATCTAAGACCGTGCCTGACACATAGTAAGGTGCTCAATAAAAAACAGCTAGATGGATGACTCATCATGACAGGGTTGTGAGAATTGATCTACGATACTCCAGAAGGGTGGATCATGCTGAGAGAGAGGCTGGAGGATCCCAAGGGCTCCTCTGCCCTCCAGAGGCCAGTGCCACATGCAGAGAAGGCACCACTGCAGTGCCCAGCCAGCCCACCCACTGCCCATAGGGATTCCAAATGCCCTGATTATGTTTCTGTTCCAGCAATAATCCTGCTCCTCATTCTAAAGTCGGAGCTGGGGCCAAGGGCTTGACCTGGTGCCATCCACGGCGCTGGGCTCTGCTGGGGGCTGTCCGTGAATTGCGCCTTAAAACTTCTTCAGCTTCTCGAAACAGGGCTCTTCGTCCACAATCTGCACCAGAGATGAGGGAGGAGACTTGGTGAGGCACCAATGGCAAGTTTACACTGATGGCAGTTTCGTAAATTACATTTAAATACACGTCAGCGTGTCCACAATCCTGTCTGCGAAGTTATTCACTGTAGCACCATTTGTAGCAGCAAAGCATTAGAAAACAAGCTAAATGGCCAGCAAAAATGCAATGATAGTAATATGTGTAATAACGTACAGCCAAATAGAGCAGGTCTATATAAAAAAGGAACAAGCTCCACGGCATAGAAGCAGGGTACAGGACAGTGTGCACACAGCCAGCATTTGTGTAAAAGAGGGGAGAGGGGAGAGATATGTGTTGAATGAGTGAACGTACTGCTCCTGTTACCTGCCCCTCCCTGAAATCTAGACTGAGAAAGGCCTGTTTCTCCTAAGTAGCAGCAGATCACTGGATTCCTCCGCCATGGAAGCTAAGAGAGTCATCCCATTTTCCTCTGTGCCCTGGGGACTAGGAAGCTCATGCCAAACTCCAACCTGAACCGCAGTAACTCTCCTAGGGACCGTTTTGGGACATCACTTTCACTGTCTGTTAATGGCTTGGGATTTTACCATACCTATGGTAAGTACACAAATCAAGATTATTGTGTGCCAGAAACTTTACATTTCTTATGCCATTTAACCTTCCTGGCAAGCCTGCAACGTGGGCATAATGATCCCCATTTTACAGGAGAGGAAACTGAGGGCCAGAGAGGAACTAACTGCTGGAGGTCTCAGAGCAAGAAAGCAGCAGAACAGGGTTCAAACCCAGCTCTGCCTCATTCCAACTCCTCTTCCTGTAACTCCATAGCATACTAGCCTTTCAGGCAAAGCAGCCCGCTCAGAAGGCCACTCTGGCACCGTAAGTATAGGCATCCTTGTTAGTCCCATTTTAAAGATGAAGAAACAAAGGCACAGAAAGACAAAATGGTGCTTTCTATTCTACTTCATGGACTTTCTGTGCTTTTATTATAGGACACATGAAACCGGCTTCAAGCCTGCAGAGCGTGGAATAACTAAATTCAAAGCTGAACAGTGGGATCAAAACAGGGCTTAGGTATGGAAGACAAGACATTTTGAGTGAAAATGCAGTGTAATCAAAATTATCTTAGACGTTGCCTTAAATTACAGGCACTTGAGAACTAGAAAATATAAAAGCCAGGAATTTACTGCTCTGGCCACCTGTGCCCCGGGGTAGTGGAGGCCAAGGCTGGTTTTAAAAGAAATAAAAAAGGATTTCTCTCTCACTCTCACGCTCTCTCTTTCTGGCCAAACGGGTATAGTTAACTATTTATTTGCTGGTATGTTTATGTGCATAAGACGTGGCTCAACTGTTCCTAATGAGTTCACAGAACTGCTGCTTGGCCTGGAAGGGCCTGCGCTCACCGTGTGTCCCCTCAGCATGCGAGGCACTCCTGGAGAAGTTGGGGTGGACGGCTTTCCGTGGCGACGTCTTCAGTTCAGAATTGGCCCCATTGACGTAGACAGAGAAGCCCTGCTCCAAGTGCTCCAGTCTCAGCTGCACAGGGTCCTTGGTTTTCAAATGCTTTAATATCCTGCAAGAAAAATGATCGCTTCATCCTCATTATATGAGCCTGGGCGAGCTGCCACCCCCACGCAGGGACAGAGCCGCTGCTCTGATAATCAGAGGCTGGGTGGCGGGACCCCGGCTGTTCTTCTACAAACAGCCTCTAAGAAGCCCATTACACACAGAGGGAAGCAGCGAGGGGAAGACTGTTTCGGGCCCTGCAGGGGTGTTTCTGATTTCATTCTGAGGCTCAAACATGGGCATGTCAGCAACAAATAAGGGTGCATATCCTTGCCCCACAGTGGCTGAGACAGGAAGTGGGCAGTGTGCACACTACGGCCACACAGCCCGGGCTTCCAGGGACAGTCCCAGGGCCACGCAGTTCCGCTCTGTGTGGACAACCGCACTTGGTTCAATGTGTGAGCAAACGTGGTTTAGGGTCTAAGCCTTTGTGAGAGATTTCACATAACAAACACACCAACAAATGAGAAGCCCCTCAGCAGACCAGGCAGACTGATGTTTTGCTTCAGTAAATAAATGTGCTCTCAAACACTCACCCCAATATCTCGACTGTCATCATTTTATATTCTGATGCAATTAAAAATATATCAATGCAGGTTTTCGTTCAAGATTCATGATGCGATTATCACACTCATAGGCTAAAGGGGCCTTGGCCTGAACACAGCCGGGTCTCCGGTTCAGCTTTCTGTAAAGCGCAGCCTCACACCTCCGGCCTGGCCCTTTCCCCGCTCATGCCCCAAAAAAGGTGTGCGGTGCCCTCTTCAGACCCTCCAGAGCGGCTCCCGTCTGACGCCAGGCCCTTCAGTCTCATGGCAAACACCTTCACGCACCCCACACCAACTAGACTTATTTCCGCACAAGAAGAAACAGACAAACGACCAGCATGGCAGCAGGGGTGCATCCTCCTTCCCCGGTGATTAAGTAAGTTCCTCCCAAGTTGGCAAAATGTAAATTTTAGAAAACAACAGTAATCACGTATAGGGCGTGTTCCGTATGCTGAACTCTGTTCTAAATGCTTCACATCAATAGTCCAGCCGCAATATTCTTGGTAGTTACATTCTATAAAGTTGCTGCACACACAGAATTAGTGAACAGTGACATGGCTCCTAGGGGAAAACACAGGTTTGGTTCCTGAGAGCCTCTGGTCCACGTTTTCACCAACTGATCAATACGTGGCCCTGCTGTATGAGTGTTTCTGCAGGAAGGCACCTTATCTAATATGGAGTTGAGGAATTAACACTGAACTCCTGGCCAGCAGCACTGTAACTCACCCCTGAATGAAGCTTACCTAACACGTGAACTTTCTCTGTAAGAAACATCACCACCCTCAGCCTTCTCGTACTCAGCAGCACTAGAGAGCACTTCAGCGCTATGCCTGCGGCCCGTTTAACAGCAGGATCACCACCTAAAAGCACAAGAATGTGGAAAGGATGCCGCGGAAAGGACCCTGTCTGCAGTGTGAGAGCTGACACCAGAAGGCCGTGTTGCCCTCTTCTACCCCTCGGCTGACAACGTGCCAGGGTCAGGCAACTAAAATTTTCTGCCACTCTGCAAATGTCTTTGAATGACTGTGAAAGCGCTGAGAGTATTGATTTTGGAGTTGCAAATAAATTCTAATTAGCAGATGAATTCACAAATATGGAATACTGTGAGCCATGAGGATCGGCACAACCATCTACGGGATAATTGCATTTATTATTCCCATTTCGTAGCTAAGCAAACAGGCACAGAGAGGTCAAATAACTGGACCAAGGTCACACAGCTAGTATGGTGGCAGGGCTAGGGTACAAACTTAAGCAATTTGGCTGCAGAGTCTTCATCATAATGAAGACAACTTCTAAAGCTAGTGAGATGATGTTGAAACTGGCAAACTTAGACTTGCTGGTAACTCACAGAACCTTCTCAGAGGTAAGGTTCTGAGAAGGTTCTGTGAGTTATAGAAAATGCCATATGTTCAGTAAGTACATTCTGGCAAATTGTTCCCGATCAGTCATAACAAAACCCTGAAAGCAACCCAAGTGTCCAACAGCAGGAAAGTGGAACCTGGGCTCTCACACAGCCATTATAATTATGAAGAATCTGTCTAAACATGGGGTGTTGGTTGGGATCTGTTCAGCAGTGGGTGAAAATGGCAGAACAAACACGGTACATATGTGGTTAAGTGCAAAGTTGGAGGAAAGTGTGTTGTGGACCCAGAATGGAAGATGATAAGTGTAAAAATCAAGTCAGTTTTAAGGTAGTGTGGTGGCATTATGGGTGATTTCTTTGTTTGTTTTTAAATGTTTCTTGAACTGTTGCTACATCCATCTTTTCAACCATCATGGCAGGAACGTTTATTACAGACTGCTTATCTCTTGCCAGCCTCGGAAGCCTAGGAGATGCCTGACTGAGAGGCAACAGCATAAAACAGAAGGAAAACAAGTAACTAAGAGACAATTTCCAAACACAGCATTAGCTGCACTCACTGGAACAAACAGCCACAGGGCTCCCTCCGAAGGCACCAGCAGTCTCCAGGCAGAGGACCGCAGGGAGCCCATGCCCTGGGAGGCCCCAGCGTTGGGGGGACAGGTTGGAATCTGACCACCTAGCAGAAAGTGTCTGCCTGAACCTCCCTCTGGAGACTGCCTGTCTCCTGATGCTACCTTAATGGTCACGGTGGCATCCAACTCCCCAGAATCTGGGCTGGCACTGCACGTGGGCCTCTCTTTAAGCAGGATGATTTATGAAAATGTGGATTTATGAAGCTGATAAATGAGGAGATAATTATTCAAACTGTGAAAGGAATCGCTGAAGGAACTCCTCTGCTGCAGCAAAGCACATCAGTAAGATACACCGGATCAAAGAAAAATGGTTTAAAAAAAATTTGATAGCCTACTTTGCATAAAAAGCTGCCCTAGGTAAAGGCATTCGAAGACATCAGACTGAGTCCCTGCCCTATGGAAGAGGGAGCCCTGCCGCCCCGCGGCCCAGTCCCACGATTCTCTTACGGGTTTGGTTTGTTTCACAGTACAGCACAGTATCTGTGAGTCCCTTTCTCCCAGCCATCAGGGTCTGAGCCCTGGGCATGGGGGTCCATGCTGCGCACCAGCAGTGAGGAACGCTCTCAAGACCTACTTCTGGGACAAGTGGCCCCAAGGAACGCCAGGTCTAGCAAGGAGAGACGGCACAGGTGCGCTTCCTGACACAGCTACCGTGTGCCTAACACACAGCGCAGGCACCATTGCCACTTCCTGCCGTATTGACCTCTGGGTCATTTGTACAGAAAGCTTTTTTGTGCAGAAAAGGAAGTGGAGACAAGATGTCATAAGGAAGTGACGGGAACATGACGCCCTTGATGGTTGGGTGGCCGGGGCACAAGCTGGGACCCAGGTGGTGAGAGGACTTGGGCTGAGCTCAGCGAGCAGGCAGTGCGCTGCGCACGAACCTGACTGTGCCTGGGCCAAGGACTGAGCTTTCCCAGTTTCTAGGCGCTGAGGTTGCTGTGCGACTGTGGACTAGCTTCATGGCTCCTCTGGACCTCATGACTCAAAGGTCACCTGAGGGTTCTCCAAGGATCAGGCATCCGAGGACTATCTGGATGTCAGCTCGGAGAAGGCACGTTTAACACTAAAATGATGAAGATGATGATGAAATCATGCTCGGTGGCAGGCTTACTGTGGACTGTCGAGTACCTTGTCTCACTCCTTCCTGGCCCTGGGGTTTAAGTCCTACCGTTGGCCTGTTTTATAGATGAATGTGCCCAAGGTCAGAGGGCCCAGGAAGCAGCCAGGATTTAAATTTAGGTCTGGGAGGCTCCAAAGCCCATCCCACTGTTTCCTGTCTCCTTACCAGGTATCATGCCACAGGGCTCTGAGCAAGGGGGGTTCAGAGGAGGGTTCCGTGGCTCCCAGCTGGGGGTGTCATGGAAGTGGTGGCACTGGAGCCCAGCCCTGAAGCATGTAGAAGCAGAGAGCAATGGTGCTGAAAGCCTGCCACGCCTTCCAGAACCTGGTGGCGCACAGGCTCTGGTATTGGTTCTCTAGGATGTCCCCACCCCTATACGTGGGGGCGGCGGTGAGGTCGTGTGGGGAACGAAGCTCCAGCTCTGTACTGGAGGCTCTGCCACTTTCCCAGCTGCGTGACCTGGGGCAAGCTCCTCAGTTCCTCTACTGTAAAATGAGACCAAGAGCTCTGGCCGGTCCGGCTTCGCAGTCAGAGCATCAGCCTGCAGACGGAAGGGCCCCAGGTTCGATTCTGGCCAAGGGCACTTACCTCTGTTGCAGGCTCGATCCCCAGTCGGGCCGCGCCCAGGAGGCAACCCTGTCTCTCTCACACCGATGTCTCTCTCTCTCTCCCCCTCTCATCCACTCTCTCTGAAAAGCAATGAAAAAAATATCCTCGAGTGAGGATTAAAATAATAAAAATAAATAAATAAATGAAATGAGACCCAGAATGCCGACGCCTCTCTGGGTTGTCATGGGGATGGAATGGAGGCCAAGCTGATGCTCCAGCTCAGAGACCAGCCCATGCAAGGCCCCCACGGGATGCTGGTTCTCTCCTTCCTTCTTTCTACCTGAATCTCCTCTTGAGGCAGTGGGTTCACTTCACATATGGGCAGGTTTTCCTCAAAGACCTTTTCCAGAAAGCAAATAATACCCCCTCTGGATTCCTGGCCGTGGCCCCCCTCCACAATTGAGAGGTGGGTGTTACAGCCCCCCTGGCCATTAGCTCCTCAGTCCCTCCTCACACCTCAGCCCTTTGGTCACTCTGCTTGCTCTCTCATCAGTCCCGCTGGGCATGATTACATCTTTTGGGAAGGTGAATGACCAGGTCACTAAGTGTCTTCAGGGAGGCTTTGTGCAGGGCAAATGGAGCTGCCACATCTCCCTAGCCTCCCCAACCTCCCTTGTGCCCCTCCCGGAGCACATGACCACTTTCTGCTTCTTCTGGCCAAGTTAGAGGTGGCCTGGTGCTCACCTGCCAAGGCCTGGGGAGTTCCTCAGGGCAAGGGCTGTGTGGCAGACACCTGTTCTTTCTGCCTGCCCGGCCCCTCTCCCCACCTTCCAATCAGAGCCCTAGAGAGGCATAGCTGCCTACTTAAACTACTCCTTACTCCACACAGTGTGGGTGAGACCCACCCCACCCCAGCTTAACGGGTGGCCAAGGAGTGGCCAGTCAGCCCAAGCTGCCTCACCAGACAAAGGGGTGATTAGCTCAGGAATGAAAATGGGGCCCCAGCCTGACCAATGGGAGCCCTCATCAGCACTTCTGTGGAACTGTTAGGAAGGAGGCACTCTCTTCCCCTCGAGGGAGGGCGTAAATGCGGCGTCTCTCGGCCACCTGGGCCTCTGTGAGGGAAGTACCTGCCTGAGATGACTCCAGTGTGGGAAAACAGAGCCAACAGATGGAGAATGACTGATTTCCGTGACATAATTTGAGTACCTGGATGCAACTATGCCTGAAGCCAGAGTATTATCCTGGGGTTGTAATTTCATGAGCCAGTAAGTTTCCTTGTTGTTTAAAGTCCATCTACCTTGGGTTTCTGTGCCTTCCAGTAAAGGCGCACTGAGGCAGTCTGTCCTCCTCATCACAGTGTTCTTCATACTGGCGGTCACGCTAGGCACTGAGAAGGCGCCCCGCCAACTCCCACCAAGGAGTGAAAGAAGAACGTCTCCCAGCACCTGGGGGCAGCTGTGCTCTGGGAGGTCTGTCCTGAGAACTCACGCAGCGCCCACCCCCTTCTCAGGCCCGACAGCAGCCTGGGTTTTTATCTCCCTCTAGGCACAGTGTCAAGCTCAGAGGCTCGTTTCCTACCCAGTAAAAGTAAACTGCAGTTTATTCCTGCAAATTCCCTCCATAATGAGCTTAGAGCCACCAGCCATGCCGGCAGGTTTCTCTCCTCTTGATTATTTCTGACAATGTCAAACAAAACATACTGAAGAAAGGCCAGCCCAGCTCCGCGGCTTCCCGGGTGCGTGACCTCGGCACATTGCACTGCTCTGGTAGCCGCTTCTTTGTTTGTAATGATGGGTGCAATAACCGTATCTGCCTCGCTGGGTAGGAGGCGGAAAAAATGAAATGACAATGGGGCGAGGCGCCTGGCACGGCTGGCACTCCAGAAAAGGTGCCTTTAAAGCAACACCTGATGAGAGCTCAGGTGCACCCCCCTTTTTTCTTTTTAGGTGTTTAATTTTAGTTCTATCTTCTCATTTCCTGTCATCAAGCCAGCTCCCTCTTGGTGACAACACGTCCCCAAAATTTAAGGCAACTCAGTTCTGATATATTTTTTAACTCCCTTTGCACTGCAACCTGCTCACTGGACATTATCCTACAGCTGTATAGGCTGGTACCTCTTTGATCATGGACTTATTGATCCCCATTTAATAAGAAGCGAGTTGCCCATATAATACTCTCATCCCAGAGAAGTCACAAGTATTTGACTCAGGTGTTTGGGGGCACCACCCACCTGCCAGAAACTGAATAAAAAACACTTTGCTCCATGGCACTCATGACAATGAAAAAAACCCACATGGGGCCAATCAGCACAACCCTTCCACTATTCTAGCTGGAGGCCACCGGGCGGTGGAGGGAGATGGGCACAGAGCATCTGGGCAGAGGACAATGCCTTCCAGCAAAGGAGGCATTTCTGGCTGGTCCCAGAGAGTTTTCTATTCACAGGTTCCCCACTGGGGGAGGTACGACCTCACCAGGGAGCATCCAGAAATGCAGGCAGGTGCTGTCGTCAGATATTGGGGTCTCAGCAGACTTTAGAAAAGGGGCCAGTGGGCAGGAACACTAAACTCCTACAACACATGCCACTATCTTGCACATAAAAATCTGTCCCACGCGACATGCCACTCGGGCCCCAGGTGACAAGCACCAGGAGTACCGCCAGTCAGAGAAGGGCTGATCCATGTTCAGGATGACAACCCCTAGACTACCTGGCCTGCAAGACTACCTGGGCTGTCATTCCCATAACACAGAGGTCCAATTAGCACCCAACCCTCCCGCCTCCTGCAGGTCTGTTTCAGGGGCCTGCAGCATTCTTCTGTTTGTTTCGTGCTTTTATTTGAATCCATTACTAACATTTTAAAACAAAGGAGGTTTCACAACACACGCCCAGATTTCCAGCTTCTCTGGCAACCTTGGAGGCCATGGGCCCCAGGCCTGTGTTTCCACAAACAACAACTGGCCTGAGCTGAGCAACTTGATTGTGAACATTCCCAGTGCCCTCTCCCCACTGAGCGGGCTTTACTCACTGCCTGGCATCTGAGCTTGCAAACCCAGCTTACTGCAGGCCCCAGGCCTGGAGACAAACCACAGTGAACTGAAAATGACCTTCCGCAGCCCTGCAGACTTCAGCAGCACTGAGGATGCGATGCCTCTTTGAACCAGACCACACTGCTGTGACCTCGGTCACTAAACACAGCATCGTCCATCTACTGCCAGCTCTTTCAAGAACCAGCACTCCAGAGTCAAAATCCATGCTGACTTAACTTTAAGTGACATGTGGACCAACTTCAAACACAAATGCAAAATCACTCCACCTCTACATAACAAGGCATGATTACAGGCTCAGATTTCAAAAGACCAGCACAGCCTGTAAGATCACAGGCTGGGCTCTTGAGGTGACTAATGCACAGGCCCTGGCAAATCCTAGCTTTTCATGACAAACCCACCTTCTCCCAGAACAGAAACAGGAGGCAAGGGGGGGTACTTACGCGTGGAGCAGTTTCCTACAGCTCAATCAAGAGACGCAATTAAATCAGTGAATGGAGAAACAGGAGCTGGCATTGCAGATAATATTCCCTACCTCTGAGTAGAGGTGACTGCATCCCACTCCTATGTGAACCAGAGCCTGCGTGCTGTTAATAAATCTAAATAGGGTTTTTATTTGGCTAATATTAAGGGCTGCCGGGGAGCGGTTTGTCTTACCGGTTCCTCTGCTGAAGCAATATTAAATACTCATCATGTTTCTCATCAAAGTCTGTCACCATGTCCTTAGTGTAACCCTGAAATGAAGAAACAGAGCAGTGTGATATGGGAAAGCAGGGGAGCATTTACTGAGGCCCGGGCGAAGCACACACAGCATAGGAGGCGGAGAGGCAGAGGCCAACCTTGACGCAGGCTTGGCTCCCCAGGAGCATCACTCTGGAGCCCCAGAGCCCCAGAGATGGTCTGACGTCCCAGTGGGTCTTGAACACACACAACTAATGATCTACGAAGAGAAGAAGGCCGAATCCCCAGCACCACTGTTCATTCCTCCCATGCCCTATAAAAACAAGCGCTTGGACAAGATTTGGGCTTCACTCTTTTCTCCCACTCATTATTAACTTTCCTCAACTGTTATAACCAGATGCAACCCAAATCAGTTGTTTAAGAGGGGATCTCGTTTTTCCCTTGCCACTGCAAGAGAAATGCATGCTTACGATAAACAAGGCAGTCATTACAAAAATATATGACCCAGAGAGTGAAGATCCCTTTAGAGCAGACATTTGAGGGTTTGCACCTGTCCTTTTGGCAACAGAGCTCTGGGTTCCCCTTGGGGAACCATTCAGCCCCTTCTTTCAGTTTATTGGCTTCTTTAGATGCCCTTGAAAGTGCCTTTGTTTTCCTCTAGGGTCACATGACCTTGGCCTTAGCCTCCATCAACATAGTGCTTCCCCCAGCCACAATGATTCACTGGCCTAGGGCTGAGCCATAACCCAAGCTAGGCCCTTGAAAGACAGCCCTGGGTTTGCTGATTCTCTTGGGGAAATGCTGTTCTCTTTCCACTGCAGTGCCAAGCTGATGAAATGCGGGTCTGGAACTGCCTGAGAATGAAGTCAATAGAGAAGATGGCTGATCTGAGAGATGGAGAGAGATTCCTAATGGCATCGTTTGAGCCCCTGGACCCACCCCTAGGCAATTTGATTACTGCTTTACAAGCTTCAGCTGAGTTTCTGTCATTTGCCGCTCAAAGAATTATGTCAAAAATCACAATCTGACCATATAATGTTTTACAGGTATAATTAATGAAACTACACATGAAAGTGACATATGTATATACTAGTAAAATCCCCATTATAATTTGATATATATTCCTCTAGATGTTTTTCTTTGTTTATAATATACATATATACATATTTATAAACACACACACAAACACACATCCTTTTAAACAAAAACAGGATCATAACATAAACAATACTTTGCCATTTTCTATGTTTCTTAAATAACTTTTGTCCAAGGAATGGATTAAAGGGACAATATCAACTTGGTTCTAGTCACAAATTACAGGGATTAAGTTTTAAATGTCAAGCAAGACGTCTGTAATAAAAATGCAATTTGTGTGAAAACCCAAATGATTAACATGGAGAGGAGGCAAAAAGAATCTGTTTCCTTCTTAACTGTCAAAACCTGGCTTGAACCCCGCTGCTCTACAGAACCCTCCCCAAGGATGACCCAAACCTCCCTAACCAAATGCAAGAGCCCCTCCCTCCTCCTGCTCAGCTGCTCGGGCGGGGGCGCTGCTGGCCCCCCTCCTGCCCGGGCCGCCTCTGCTCCTGTACCGCCCAGTGAGCCTCCTTTCGCCCCACGCTTTCCGCCTGGGCCTCCCTGGCTACCTTCCTCCTTTGGCCTCAGATGTGGAGGGTCACTGTCTCTGTCCATCTCACCTTTCTGGGTCTCTCTCCGTCTTTACTTCTCTTTCTGACTACAAGGCAATGGGCGCCCTCGCTGGGTGATCCGGAGAGTCGCTCCTAGTCCAGGCCTGAGGCCTGAGGAGAGCTGGTTGCAGGACACTGGGTCTGGGGAGGAGGCTCAGCTCCTTCCAGAAGGACATGTATACGATGGGGACAGTTTGTGCAGCGATTCCACACACGAGTCCCCTCTGATCTTCACAGCAGCCTTGAAGTGGTTATTATCACCCCATTTGAGATACAAGGGAACCCTTTCCAGGCATCTTCCAGGAACTTGGGTCCTCTAAGGCAACTCACGTAACCATTTTGAAATATTTAAATGGCCACTGGTATATTACAGTACGGAATGAAACATTCTATCACATTTTTAGATGAAATAGGAGACTTCAAAGGGATCTCAGCCTGTGGTGGGCTGCCCTGGGCCTTCACCTCATACCCCCCAGAAACCCATTTACCCACCTCTGCCAGGAGGAAGGCGTCATCAGAAAGACTTGAAGAGCACAAGCATATATCCAGCCAAACTTTTTACCAGCCTGCGCCTCTCAAATGCTAATGTGGGCACCAATTACCTGGGATTGTGCTGAAATGCAGGCTCTGGTTGGGGGGGTAGGGGGGGGCATTTCTAACAAGCTCCCAGGCAATGCCCGTGGGCCCACTTTGAGTAATTTGAACTTGAGCAGGGGAAGAACAGGGGGCTTTGGAGTCCAGCCTGGCTCCAAGTCCCAACACTGCCATTAGTTCCTCATGCGAAATGGAGGTAAAGTCAGTACCTGTCTGGAGGATTTTTCTTGCCCTCCCAGGGTGAATGTGGACTGCGTGCAGTGACAGTGGAAAGGACCTAGCACAGTACCTGGCACCTAGAGAGCCCTCAATGAACGTTAGTTACATTCACGTTTACAGATTCCATTATTTAAATAGCACTATCCTAGCCACCCCCACCCCCACCCATGCTCAGTCCTACCCTAATGCCTTAATCATTCTATCTCTTTTTCCAGAAATCTACTCCAACCCCTCCAGCCTCCACCCAAATCCTCTCCAAGGCCCAGCTCAGTTCCTGAAGTCTCCATGAAGTCGTCCCCAACATTCTCAACCCCACTCACTTCAGCTCATTCTGAAACCCTGAGATTGGTATTAAATTATATACAATACAGTGCGCAATAGCGTATGATTAACTGCTAAACTGTTACCATTTAACTATACATATTGCTCACTAATTATCTGGGGATTTGGAGACTTCGAGTCACCCCTGATCTCTCCTTCTTACCATCCCTGAGCCTAGTCTTGTCTGTAAAAAGGGGATATTAATGACTCCCACACAGGGCTGCTCTAAGGATTAACTAGGAGAAAAGTGGAAGTAATTTAGGATCTTTTCTTTCTGGTTCTCCCTTATAATCCCAGCCGGATTATAAATCCATGGAGGGCAGAACTGTGGGCAAGCAGGGGGACAGGGCATGGGAGCCTGGTCCTGGGCCTGTCTTAGCTTCACCACATCTAGCTCAGTGATGACAATCGCTGAGGCTGACTTAGTACCAACTCGGCCAATCCTCACCCCAACTCTGGTTGGTCAGACACCAGACACTGCCTCCCCTTCACTGAGACTTCATTTCTCTGGCTATAAAATGGAGGCATTAACACTTAAGGCACCCCACAAAGGTGGGAGAACCTTATAAAGTGCCAAGTTTATCATCACTGTCTTGCAATGTTTGTCAAACATTTACCAAGTGCTTACTGTGGGGCTGTTACCTATGCAATGAAGGTTTAACAAAAGCTCTGATCCAGTGGCCCTGGCCGGCATGGTCAGTGGATAGAGCATCATCCCATGCACTGAAGGGTCGTGGTTCGATTCCCAGTCAGGGCACATACCCAGGCTGCAGCTCAATCCCGAGTCGGGGTACATGTGGGAGGCAGCCGACTGGTGTTTCTCTTACGTCTATCTCTCTCTCTCTCTCTCTCTCTCGTCTCCTCCCTCCCTTCCTCCCTCTCTGGAATCAATGAAATGTCCTCGGGTAAGGGTTAAAAAAAAACAACTCTGACCCAGTGTATATTCAGACACAAACTTATAGGTTGTACTCAACCACCAGCCAGGCACTGCTCTGCAGGACTCTGGCCCCTTCCTGTCCGGAGTGGTGTGACTGGCACCCCCTGCTGTTGTGCATCCAGTCAAGGGTATACACAGTGGCCCAGAGTCCCTAACATCGGGAATGGCCTGCTAGGAGTTCTGGAAACACCCATTCAATTGAATGCACATGGGTATTTTTCTGCAAAGAGAGTCCATACCATTCATCAGATTACCAAAGGCACATGAGACCAAAAACAGGAGACAAATGATTATATTAAAATGTGGTGCCAAGGATCTGAATGAGGGAACCAGGAAGGCCCCCTTGAGGCCACGGCCAGGCCCCCATCCTTGGCAGTCATCTTCGAAGCCTGGCTTACTCTCCCACTCCACATTCAACCCATCAGCTCCCCGTGAAAACTGCAGCATATCCAACATCTGATCATTTCTCACCACCTGCCCCTACCACTCTGGTTCAGGCCCCTCGCTGGCCTCTGCTCCTGCCCCCACCCCTGTAGTCTGCTCTCCCTGCTACAGCCAGGGGGCCCTATGAAAGGTAAGTGGAACCATGCTCTTCTACACGGGTCCCCACGGCCACCAGGCGCTGCACACTTGCAGCTCTGAGCTGCCTCCCACCACTCTACTCCAGCACCCTCAACACCCAGCTCCCACCGCAGGGCTTTGGGTCACCATTCCTTCTGCCCAGAGTGCTCTTCTTCCAAGTAAACACCCAGATTTCTCACCTCCTTCAAGGCTCGCCTCAGATCTTACCGTCCCTGGGAGGTCCCGAGAGGCTGTGCACACACACCTACTCCCAATCCCCACTGACTTAATGCCTGCTTTACCTGATTTATTATGTCTTTCATTACTTGAGCTGCCCCTGCACTAGAATGAAACTTCCTCGAAGGCAGGAACTGTGTCCGTGTTTGACCACTTGTGCATTCCAAGCCCCCGGGACAGTGCCTGGCACACAGGGGCACTCACTAAATCCTGACTGAGTGAAATAAATAAATAAGGTGACATCTAAACTGAAATTTTAAAGTTGAAGTGTTTTCTGGGCAACAAGAAAAGGGACAGTCACACCAGGCAGAAGGAGCAATACGGGGAAAAGGTTTGGGGGCCTGAAAAAGCTTGAACCAGAAATTGGGTTTGACTAGAGTGACGGGTGCCAAGAAGGTGCTAGTTAATAGGTTCACGGCCAAAAGTTGGGTTTGACTAGAGTGACGGGTGCCAAGGAAGTGCCAGTTAACAGGTGAAGGGCCTAAGCAGTTCGGAT